CTTCATTTCATTTTTACAAATTGCAAACAATAAGGACCTAAACACATTATTAGGATATTCACAATGCACAATTTGTTCATTGGAAATAATTTTGAAGTTTAGTCCAAATGGATCAAAACAGTCTGGTTTTTATGTTAGCTTAATCAAACCTAATAATATAAGTGAAATCAAATTCTTATTGTCACATATATTATAAGCCATTGGGCAAATTGGGTAATTTGGACCAAGTTGTGACTCGTGTGGACTTCTTGATTGAAATGGGAGATCACAATCATGGTGAGGCATGCATTGAGATCAAGATTGTTGTAGGAGCTGTATCAAATGAAATTGGCCAACAATGTGAATTAATGTATGTGTTGAAATCTATACAAATTTGAACTAGAGTGAATCCATTCATCAAACTTAGCTTTGTATATTAACACCAAACTAGTGGTGTGTGGAATGCTACTAATATCGTAAGGTAATTTTTGCTAATATCGACTAAGACAATGTGTAAAGCTTCACTTTGGCCTATTGTGGTGTTTGGATCCAGAAAATAAGAGAGTGTGTATATGTCTGTCATCAAAATTAAGTAATTTTCTATACTTGTCATTAATTTAAAGTAATGATAATTATGAGTTTTAGAATAATGAATAATAGAAAATAATCAAGCTTTGGGATTTAAAAGTTGAAAAATCCAAGTTTGAAAATTACTTTGTAGTGTTGCAAACGCTAGGATATGACGCCATGCATTGTCTCTTCAGGAAAAGGACAATAAATAAGTTTTGGCAAAGCTGACATCTTGGGCTCATAACCATTAAATGGGACAATCTAGAAATTCTCTGGCACGTTACGATGTTGAAAAGTGGATGTCGGGGTGCTAAGTTCAATATGAAAATATTAATTTAAAATATTGAAATTCATTTCTCATCCCAAATTCACCCAGGAGTCCCAGAAAGAAAAGAGAGAGGAGAAAAAAAGAAATAAGATAAAGGAGGAGAGAATCGGAGGACAAAGTTTGGGATTCGCCATCAGGCCAATAACAAAAAAATTGATATAAGCTCCTAAAGACTCCGTAAACAAGTCAACACTAGTAACAGTTGTTAAAATACAACAAAAAGATATTTTCTGTTTTTACCTAATTTATTATCTGTAATTTTTGATTTTTGTACCTCTTATTATGAAGATTGCTATGTAAAATAAATTTCAATGGTCGCTTTTCTTTCAAATTTTGATTATATATTGAATTAAAACCTTTTGTCAATAGTCTTATAGATATAAATGTTTTAAATGTTCATGAAATCTCTAAAAAGTAAAAATTGAAAAGTAAAATCAATGATATATGTCTAACAAAAATTATAGATTATCGCAATTATGCATTATGTATCATTGCATTTAACATTTTAACATTAAGTATTGTGCATGTCAACTATTCGCATACATGACATCAAAGAATATTCCATTCTCAATAAAAAAAAGAAATTCCTATGATGTTTTCAGGCCCCTAAATATATCCATTCTGAATCAAATCTATTTGAATGCAATGTGGGAGATTCGGCCCCACACTTTTGAAAAGCAAGTGTCTGAGTTAAGCAACATTATAAGCTAATATCTGCGCCATCTTCTGAGCAAATGCTATGTTGTGTGGGGGGGGAAGAAGAAGAGAGAAAGAGAGAGAAGAAAAGAGAGAGAGAAGAGAAGAGAGATTCTTGGCCAACGGCTAGATGCAAGTTGGGAGGCAAAGTAGCATAAGGAAAGTGGATATATATAAGCAAACATCAAACATTTGTATTGATAAAACATACATTCATATGCAATTATTTACTAAATTAATAGGAAATGTTATGAAATTATATTCATCAATAAACTCTGGGTTTCTATATGAATTCTATTGAAAAGTAGAAAGCAAAAATGAAAGGAAATGAAATCTGAATAATATTGTACGCATTCGGAAAACTTTTGTGAAAGTTAGAGATACACAATTATAAGTGTCTGCTCTTGAGACCAGTATATACTAGAATTATGACATTCAGCATCTACTTTATTGACTAATTTCACAATCTTATAATTTCTTTAATCAACTCTTTAATAAGTTATATTAAATATTGTTAAGCTATTATGGTAAGGAAAAGAGTCTACCAGATAATTTAGACCTTACTATTTATTTAAAGTTAAGAAAAAGATAACCAACATTAATCGTTGAATGTATTGATTTATCTATCAAGAGTATTATATCTATTGATGAAAATGAAAGTTTATTTTATTATTTTAAATTTATAAAATTTAGTATTCTAATAATAAATTATTGAGAGATGAGTTATTTAATTACATTAATTAAAAAGTTCAACTCTTCATTTAATCAAATGCCACTATAGAGATGACTAAGACAAATTCACTAATTACTGCCCCAATTTTAAGAATTCAAAATATATATATAAAATATATATTATATATATATATATATATATAATATATATATTACTATCACTATATATATACTTACATATATATTAATATATATTGTACAACAACAACTAATTGGGAAAAAATTCAAAGCAATCTATATTCGTGTAGTACAGCAGGTTGACCATATGAGCAACGAAAAAAAAAGAGGTCAACATTCTATACGGGAAAATGAACATTTATTCCAAATAAAAGAAGAACTATATTGAAACATACAAATATTAATTTTTATTTAAAAGAAAAGGAAAGTTAAGTTAGTGATTATATTGGTTGCTAAAAAATAAAGCTTGAATCCCTTATATTAACTTCGACTAAACAAAGGAGCATAGAGGGGAGAGCAAGGTCATCAAAATAGCTTTTTATTCGGTCTAGCAAAGAGGACATACTAAATTGGTTGGCCTTATCCATAAAAACATGTCTAGAATAGGTTTCCTTTGCTTTGAATTGCCATTGGTATTGCACAAGTCATTGGTTCCTTCATAGAACACTAGCTCTAGCATCTTTCTATTGTTTGAATCAATAGGCTCTCAAAACAAATAGCTTTATATTAGATTGAACTAGCTACATCATTTCATAAAAATGATTATAAAACTGTTGTGAGAAAAGTGATTTATTTGAAAGTTCGTATGGATATTATAAATATATCTTTTTTTTTAATCAAACAACTATTTTCTTAAAACTTTCACAAACTAATAATTCTTAAATTTATTAAAAGTAGTAGCAAAAGGAACAATGTTTGTGATTTGGAAAACAAAATAGTGAGAAAATTGTCTCAAGCTGGAAAAAAATTATTCTGTGCAAAGATTGGATGCAGAACGTTGTCCGTAGACCATCTAGAATGTGCCACGTCAGCAGTACCGAGCCGTGGTACCGAGCAGTACCAAGTCACGGTACCAAGCAAGGCGTGACGTGACACATTTTTGTTGGTCTACGGACGACGTTCGGCGTCCGCACATAATAATTAATCCTCAAACTTACACTAAGCTTAAGTATAGTTCAAATTAAAATATCCCTCATAATTAAATTTAAAAATATTTTATCCATTTGTTTAAATATTTGATCAAATAAAAATCTTATGAAGATATTAATAAAAAAAATTAGGCATCATGACTTATGAGAGATAAAAAAGTATAATTATTTTATGTATTTTACATTCAATTAAATTATTTTAAAAACATTATATTTATTTATTTACAAAGCGTACCCTTATTCTTTTCTCAGCTCCGATACAAACAGCTCCTGGATGAACTGCGCTGTGCAAGTCTGCTGAATCATGTCCGGGGGTTATCCACCGTCGCCGTCGTCCTTGCCGTCGCAGTCGTCGCCGTCGGGAAACGAAGAAGCGATGCGAGTTCTTACACGCCCGGTAACTTTCGTCACCGGAAATGCTAAAAAGCTGGAAGAAGTGAGGGCTATTCTGGGGAACTCCATCCCCTTCCAATCCCTAAGGCTCGATTGTAAGCCCTTTTCGGTCTCTTTATTCCCTTGCACCACGACAACTTGTGCCATCCCGTAGATTTTTCTACGAATCTAATGCTTTTTTTCCTTAATTTTTTGGTTTCTTTTGATTGTTTGCTGTAATGCTCTTTTAAACGCAGAAAATTTTTATTGTGAACTTAGAACTCGTTGTTGGTGAACTTGCATCAAGCATTACTCAACAAGGGTTATGATATTAAGCCAGTAGAGTAAAATTTCTGGCTTTTGTCTCTTTCAACTACTAGTGACCCAATAATGCTAATAGACCATTCCAGCAGAGCGCAACCAACTAGGCTTATCGTCAGGCACTTCGCGATTCTCAACAGAAGCAACTACATCAATTGAATAGAATGTAGCCTCAAGTACTCCTAAATCACTCCAAATTTGAGTCATGAACTAGGGCTGTAAACACCCTTCAACTCCTAGTTGCATCTCTATTCCTAAAAAGTAGCTCAAAGTCTCAATTCTCGATTGGTTTGTGGCCTCTTATAAGGCCTGATGATTTGAATATTGTATCATTAAGCTATTCTCTCCTTAATTGATGGAAGAGCCTCATTTGATTTGGTTGGCATTGGACAATCAATCAAAATCCATGGTTAAGATGCATTCATGTAAGTTGACACTGTGCTTTATGTAATGACCTCAACAAAGCTATGCTGATCTCAAACTTTTTTTTTCCCTACAATATCCTCCATATTCCCCTGTGATAATGAAGATGATGGATTCCAAGCTGCTCACTACACTAGAATACAAGATGCCATGAGGCCTATCTTTAGCTATCCCATGATGCTCAGCGAAGTCAACATGATATTGTTTCTGAACATGATCATCATATAGTCCTTGTGGAGAGTGCTGATCTGTTATGGAGTTCAAGTAATAGTCAATCCAACAAAAATGCTTTTTAACTCCATAAGTATTGTGGAGTTCAGATAACAGGCGATCCAACAATAATGCTTTTTATATCCTATATGAAGGTGATCCCCAAATTTAAGAATGAATTCTTGAATAGATGAGTAGGAAATGTAATGTCTAGTAGTTAATATTCTGTGCTCTTTAAAGGCTTTTACATCCAACAAAAAATGATTTAAGTTATATATATTCAACAAGATGAACTACAATGAAAAATAATCTCCAACTCTTGGCCAAAAAAACAAATGTCCAACTCTTGGCCAAGTGAGATAAATGTGGTTGAATAAAAAAGCCTAAATATAATCGACTTGATGACAACCCTTCCTTGCCAACAAATCAAAAAGCTCTCATTCATTTTGTTTCGTATAGCATAATTGGATTTTTCCAAGCTTCTTTAGTTTAATAAAGATGTAGCATAGCAAGCTTAAGAGAATTGGCTATTTTTTCAACAAATCAAGGACCAAACTAAGGATGTTGACCTAATTTAATATGCCTTCGAATAAAGCTTTGGCCTACCATTGGTATTACGATATGTTTCTAGGTCAAATAATTGGTTCAAAATTTTAGTATCCTATATTCTTCAAGGAATATATTAGCCTAAAAATGATTATTGACATTGAAAAGAACAAATATAAAGGAAGAAGTATTTTATGGTTGTACATCTCCCGAGTTATCACAAAAAAGGCCTTATAAATGCGGCCAAAGTTAAGCCAAACTTTTATAATATCGATCAAATCATTACTCAACAAAGCAAGATAAAATAATATAATCTTATGACCCTTGCAAAATTAAATTGAAGGAGTCATTATAGCTCGATCCAGAGAAGATGCAATCAATTTTGATGGCCTCATAAGCTCATCATATTGTGATAGTTCTCCTGGTCAATAACAACCTGTTAACTATTAATTACATGATCATAAATGAAGTGCATGGATGATGGTGGATGCAATCTCATGCTTAAAAAAAAAGAGAGAGAGAAAAAGTGCCTGTTTAATTTGAGACACTTCGCATAATTTCACTCATTTAGGAGGGTGTCTTTTTTGACTGCTCTGTCAATCTCTAATATGACCCAATTCCAAAAGAAGGCTTCAACTTATTGTTACTTGGCCTCAAACAATCCTATAGGCTATGACAAAACCTTCATTTAAAGTATTGCCTTTATGCTTTGGTTGATATGATGCTTTGTGCAAAGATCCCTAGGGCAGTTATACATATCCGGGTTGATATTGTGCTTTATGCTAAGATCCCTAATGAAACCATACATACTCAGGTTGACATTGAATTGCATGTTGCGATCCTTAATAAGAAAAATAAAGAAAAAATAAAAAATAAATAATGCACTTAAGGAATTCTCTTGTAAGTCGAGAGACTATATATATATATATATATACAACCATGCAATGAACAATACCAATCTCATATCCATCTGGGTTGATATTATGTTTGTCGTTAAGAACCTTCGTAGATCGACATTCACTTTGGTTAACACTTTAAATTTATGCTATAATTCCATAAAAATTATACTTAACATGTAGATACAAGTTTAGTTGGACCTATGTTTTATGTTCCTTATCTAAAAAGCATTATATGGACACTTGAATGCTACAAAAGTGTGGGAGAAATAAAATAAAACAAAATCAAATAAAAAAACCAAATAAAAAAAAAAGGATGAGCAAGGGCACTCCCACCTATGATAAGTTAAAAGGAATACTCTCCCCCTTAACTCTTCTAATAAGTTAAAAGCAACTCTCACTTGACTCCTCTATATTGTTTTAAAAAAACTCCTCTCACTATGGCTCATCTGCTAGCTTTCACTTGTTTGTCTAAAAAATATTATTATGCAAATTATAGGTGGGACCATAAAATTTAATAGATAACCAAAATATAATATAGTAAATAATCAATATGCATACTTCACGACAATTAGTCAATTATCTTTGAGACATTCCTAAGCATCGATTTACCATCATTCAAATTTAGCTGATCATAGCTGAATTATATAGGTGATTATATCATTTTTATCATCGTCTCAACACTCTCAACACCCATTATTGATAGGATTATAGTCCAATTGTGTGCTAATCATTTATGAGGGAGCTTAGTTGCATAAGATTATTTGTGTTGATCTTCATGGGGTAGGATCTTAATCCAAATTTGTGCCCATATTTCTCATCAATTTGTAAATCATTCATGATAGCATACAACAACACACTTAGGTCGCTACATATTAATGCATTGACGTTGCCCAAGCACGAGAGCTGGCTTGAATCTAGGTTTGCAAGAGTTATGGTGGTGAGGGCAGTCAATTTGTCAAGGTATTTATAATGTATGTGGTCAGCCTCAAGTAGAAAACAGTGAATAAAGATGCATATATGTTATTTTGTAGTTCACATACAACCAATTCAAATTCACAATACTGTAGGTTAAACCCAGAAGAAAAGCATTCTATATAAATGCATGCCTGATCTGATTAAGCAGGCAGATGCATTGAAAAATGTATCTCACTAGTGAAAATGATCAACTCATTGTACAATTTGTAGTAATGCGGCGCATTTATATTTAGTAACAACTGAGACATTAGAGAAAAACCTCAAAACAGTCACCCGACAATTGTATCTGGCAAATGTATTCCCAAAATATTAAATTTCTCTCATTTATTCACTCGACCATACAAAATTATTCCAAATGATCACTTAGATAGAAATTTATGAATATTGGAATCATGCAGCCAATTTAGCCCGGACGAATCATTTGGGATCAAATTCTGTATGGTGGAGCAATTAAATTGGAGAAATGTTATACTCTATGACTAAACTATTTTTGGCTTTTTCCTTAGAATATTACAATATCAACTCTATGCCATACCCCACATCTGCATGGGCTTCATTTTTATTAGCATATGAATGGTTGCTTTGCTTGTTATTTCATTATTTACTTGTCAATTTCTCTTAGTGCCAGAACTGCAAGGTGAGCCAGAAGAGATATCAAAAGGCAAGGCCCGTTTGGCTGCAACTGAGGTATTGCCATGAGATATTTTAAGCTATAAATGCTCACATTATAGTGAGTTTTACTTTCTCATAGATTATTTATCTTTCTTGAGAACCTTATATTTAGGAGTCCTTTGGTTATGTGATAGGTAAATGGGCCAGTTCTTGTTGAGGACACCTGCCTTTGTTTCAATGCTCTTAATGGTCTACCCGGTATTTCCTGCTCTTTGAGCCATTACTATTAATACCATTTCCTTACTATTAATGTCATTTCCTTTCATTGTCACAGGCCCCTACATGTATGTGCTTGGTACTTCAACGGTAACTTCTTTGTCATGTGATTTAGGCTTCATTTGGAACAGCTTTCTTACTATTTTTTAAAGCTGTTTTTTGGTACTGAAAAGCTGCTTTGAGAAGCAGTAGGAAAGCCGTCTCAAAGGAAGCCATAATCACATTAGTGTTATATGGAATTCCTTAAGCTGGCATATTTTCCTTTTCTCATGAATATTATCCATGTCTTTGAATTCAAATTCCTAATACTGACTCTTTTGGCGTTCTGAAACGTTTGGAAAATCAGAAAGTGGTTTCTCCAGAAGATTGGACATGAAGGTGATAGACAGAATCCATTGTTTCACATTAATCTTTTTTAAAACCTTCTTTCTGATGCCCTTTCAGCATTTATTGTTATTATTATTTTTTAACTGTTCTCATGTAGGTCTGAACAATCTGCTAATGGCTTATGAAGACAAATCAGCATATGCTGCCTGCGTATTTTCTCTTGCTCTTGGGCCAAATACAGAGCCTTTGACGTTTGTTGGGAAAACAATGGTAAACTTTTGTGCTCTTTAATTAGGGGATGTAAACGAGCAAAGTTTGAGAAAGTTTAAGTGTTATTCTATTGTTCATCTCTGCTTGTTAAGTAAATGAGTCAAAATTTTATGTTCTCGATTAGCTAGTTAACAATCAATCAGAATAAATATGCATATAAATACATGTATGCATATTTTTATGTGTAAATAAAAATAATTAAATTATTATAAAGCCTAACATGATTGAACTAAGCTTTGTTTGTGTTTAGCTCACTAAAGTTTTGTTTGCGTCGACTTTCTTATAGTTTCTTAAAGCAGCTTTCTAGTA